TTCCAGTATTTATTTATTGTTGAAATCTAGAAATATTTTATTTATATATATAAAAAAAAAGTTCAAATACAAATTAAAACAACCTGTATATAATTATAATCTGTTTGTTTTGTATTGAAGAAATATTTTCGTAAATGTTGAACTTGAAAAAAACTATTTTGATCACGATTTAAATAAGTTATTAGACAAATTAATATTAAAAATATTAAATAAATAATAAATTCTCGAATAATTGACCATATTTGAATTTCTTTCAAACGTTGTTCACGAGCATAAACAACTTCATTTCTATTAAGACGATTAATATATTTTGTTGATTGAGAAATAAATAAAGAATCATTCTAAAAAAAAATAAATCATTCATTTCAATAAATTGTCAATAAAATTCAAAAAACAAAAACAAACCTCAATTGAATGAAAATAATCTTCATCATTATCTAAATCAATTTCATTATCATCAATATATTCACTTGTTTCTTTATCATCATTCATATTCCGACAAAAACAAGCAAAGAATATTGCCAAACATATAATCTTTAAGAATATATTTCAGATATTTAGATAAATAAAAAGAAAAAAAAAACAAATTATACTTTAATTGGTTCAGTTAGAAGAATTGAAGAAAAAATTCCAGTAAGAACTGATGTTGACCATTTTCGAGTTTTTAAATCACCAAATTCAATTCCACGTGCAATTATAAAAAAAATTGATATAGCAATTATTATAAAAGAAAGACCATAAGCAATAAATAAACACCACCAAGGAAATGTTAATTCACATTGTTTTTTCTTAGTTAAATGAATATTTTTTTGACTATTAAAAAAATAAAAGATCGAATTTTAGAAATTATATTAGTTAGAAAATTTACGAACATTTGTAAAGATGGTCTTAGTTTATACAATGCTTGACGTAATGGAGAAATTTGTTGACGAGTTCGAATACGACGAAAGAATTGAACAATTAAAAGACTTGGAATTAATGAGAATAGTTCAACCATTACACCAATTACAATCTTAAATATACAATTAAAGAAATTATTTCTTTATATTCTTTCCAGACTAACAAAAAATTTGAATAATTCTTACTACCATATATTAAATAGAGACAAATATTTACTCTTATTAATTGTTCACTCATTTTGTTGAAAACATAGAATTCCGTAATGCAAAGATATCGATCATAGGTATTTATATTGATTGGCAACTTCATGTCTTTTATTCGAATAATTTTATCATATTACAGTTTAATTAAAGTATGGACCCTAGAAGAATCCAGGAGGAATCTCTGTCATGAGTCCCCGGGGAGTTTTAGGAAAATCCTGATATATGCAACTTCCCCAGGGACTCACGACAGGGATTTCCCGGTGATTTCGTTGGGGGAGAGTCTACTAGGGAGGAGATAGGATACATTTGTAGTATTACAAAAGGCAACCTTTAAGTACATCGTACTATATTGTGTACGATATAACATTGAACATATACCTGTTGAGGAGTTATATAGAGAGGACCAATTGATAAACTGTTTCCCACGGTCGTTTTTGACATATTTGCCTCGACTGATAAATCATAATACATTATATTAAGTAACATTGATGAAAATAATAAGACAAAACAACAAGTACATCGTTGTATACGTGTAAATTTATTTGATGGTGGACGAGAAAAAATTGAAAACCATAAATGACCATCAGATACACTATGATAAGCTTTTTTAGACAATATATAAAAAAAATGCACGTTTTTCCATTTCACTAGCAACTGGTAATATTCGTTCAATCTATTTGAAAAATAAATAGAAAATATGAAGAGAAATTGAAAAATAATAATAATAATAATAATTTACAAATCCATCATCTTTTTCAACTGCAAACCATCGTTGAGAAATAAAATGAAATTTTTCCATTGTTTGTAAATCTGTTACAATAATATATTTTAAAAACCATGATGCTGATGAACCTTTTCCAGAATTATCATGCCAAATACGAATATAATTTAATAATCCTAATGATCTAAATATTAATTTCTTCGTTTTTTTTTGTTTTTATCTTTTTAAAAATGATTAAAACAAAAATAAATATACTTTGGAACAGTCATAATAAATGCATCAATTCCACCACGTTGAAAAATCTTTCGATGAAGATCAGTAAATGTTCGAACATGTGTTTCATCATTATCACCTGATAAAATAAAGTGAACCTAATGAAAATATATTTTTTATTTAAATTAGTTTTCCTTTGTTTTTTTTTTCTTATCTAAAATATTTACTTTTGATTCTGTTCCAGCATTTATTCGTTGACCAGTAAAGACAAGAATTTGATAAAAATATTGATCTAATTTATAATTATCAAGTAATGGTGTAACACCTAACTTTTCAATATCTTTTTTATCATTAAAACGTGCATAAATCATTAAAATAATATAGATAATAGATACAAAAATAATTGTTAAATAAACAGTTTTATTTTTCATAAAATCTGCATTTGTAAAAACATAATTCCAATTAATTGGTGCAGGTAAAATAATAAATCCACCAGCAAATGATGTTAAATGATTCGAAAAACATTGAATTTGATAATGATTTGTTAAAGGTCCAACAATTAATCCATCTGATTTCCATTGATTATTTTTATCAAGATAATAACAAGCTGATGTATAAATACGAAGTTCATAATTTGATGTAAAATAAAATGGTTGATTT